TGAGGTCTGTGGCCAGGGGAACCAACGTAAGCCAGTTATGCTGTGGATTGCTGCGGTTCTCTAAAAGGAGGTGTGAGTTTGGGCTAATTCTCACCAACTTCCTACGCTTGGGACCTTTGTTCTTCTCTACTTTCTACCCCACTGTGGCATGCTCTTTTTTGTAGGAGCTCATTTTATCTCAATATTCTTTTTCAAAACTTCCTTTTGTCTGGTGGTTGATATTATAGCAACTGGCAAATCACATCTGTTTTTTCACAGCAAGTCTGGTGCTCTGCAAGTCACTTTGGACGACTTTTTTTTGAGACAGAGTTTCATTCTTGTTACCCAGGCTGGAGTGGTACGATCTCAGCTCACTGCGACCTCTGTCTCCCGGGTTCAAGCGATTCTCCTGCCTCAGCCTCCCGAGTAGCTGGGATTACAGGCATCCACCACCATGCCTGGCTACTTTTTTTGTATTTTTAGTAGAGACAGGGTTTCATGTTGACCAGGCTGGTCTTGAACTCCTGACCTCAGGTGATCTGCCTGCCTTGGTCTCCCAGAGTGTTGGGATTACGGGGGTGAGCCACCATGCGTGGCCTGGATCACTCTTTATTGCCACACCCAGTTCCACAAAGTTTGTGACCAAAGAGGGCATATGTACGTTTTAATAGCTAGTTTTTTCTTATGCGCGGTTGTGTCATAAAACCTTTCAGCTGAATGGGCTGCTTTGGTATTCCGGGTTTGGGATTTCTTTTTTAACAGTTTACTGCAGCAGCCATTCAATGTTTCCTCCTACTCTGTAACTGTCCTCCTCATTTGAATTTCTCCTCTCTCTCACTGCTGACTTTGTAAACTCTACAGAAATAGGCAAACTTTGGTTTCAGAGGAGGGCTGTCCCTGGTGGGTAAAACTGGCACAAAGCTGAATTTGATGAAACTGAAAGAAATATAGCACCAGTAAAAAGGCTTCAGCACACAGCAACCTGTACTTGCTTGACTCTCACAGTCCCACGAGAGACAGAGTGGGTGGGAAAGATCTGAGTCTGTCAGTTTGCTGGGGGTGGGGTTGAAAAAATTTTGGGGGTACTTTCCATGGCTCATAAAACACAAGGTTTCACCGGCAGGAAATTGCCAAGAAGTTTGCTGTGTCTTTCTTTACTAATTGCAAACTAGAAGAGGTAGGTTTACAACATCTCAAAATCCCCCAAGTGATTACAGCACTGTATAAGCAATTGTAAGTCTTCCAAACTGAGCCAGAGAATAATGGCTACTGTTTATTGAGCACTTAAAGGGTGCAGGCACTGTGGTAAGTGCATCACCTAACCTGGCTTATGGAAACCTCACTCTACTCTGAATGATACATGCATGGCCATCCTGGCTTTACAAGTGAGGAAACTAAGGTACAGAAAGAGTAAGTGACTCGCTCCCTCACATATCATACTACAGTCAACTGATGGGCAGGAAATAAACCTAGAAAACTTTCTTCAGATCCTGCAACCTCATCACTGAGGTGAACACAGTTGACTCTTATCGTTGGAGGACACATTGACAACATATTAATAACACTGATTTCAGCTGACGTTTCTCTGAAGCGTCCAGAGCTTTACAGTTATTGTCACTGAGTAGTACTAAAACAAGTATCATTTATTTATTCTCTAAATGCTTATTGAACACTTACTATCTGCTCTTCACTGGCAACTCACCATGCCAATGCAGTTATTAGTAACTAATTTTTATTGAGTTAAATTTTTCACATGCTTTATTTCATTTAATCCTTGCACATATTTAAGGTAGGTGCTGTTATTGTCAGCTAAAGAATTGAATTGTATGGAGGTTATTTGTCAAACACTGTTATCTACGCTGCTGTCGTAAGTGGTGAAGCCAGGATTTGAACCCAGTTTGATATGACCCCAAAATTAATGTTTTAAAGACAAAGTAAAATTGTGGGTTATCCATAATTTTAAATTACAATTAAATTTAATTGGGCATTAAATTGGGGAAATGGAAAAAGGGGAAGGTACATGGAAGAAAGGTCTGAACTACTGTACGCTATTTTAAAAATTTCCTCAATACATTTTTACAAATAGGCTAGAGAATCTCCTATTCAACATCTTCATTTGCCGTTTTTGCAGCTCCTGATTTATAGACCAAACATTCTATTACTCTAGAGTGAAGTGTACAAACCTGCTGTTTTGGCAGCTCACCAACCACAGAGCCCGGGACTCTCTGCAGCTGGCTATTTTTCTCTTCTTTCGATCTTCAGGGACTAAACTTAGTGCTTAATGAGACGACATGGATGCACTCAATTCTGCAGGTGATCCATGTCAGAGCTAACGCACATTCATGTAAATGAAGATGGTCCCAGGAATCCAGAGAAACCAGATGATTCAATTAAATATTCTACATGTTTCCTTAAGAAGGAGTTTACAGTGACAGTAAGATGCCTGAACTACGACAAACCTTCTATAGAAGGCGTTTCCAACAGTTTAGATTTGGTCATTTTATGCTGAAGCAAGTTAAGTAGATTTTGCCATTGGGATGAGAAGCCATGGGATCCACTTTGAACTTGACATGCCACCTTGTGGAAATTGGAGGCAATAAAAAATGTGGCCATTGAATACTACTCTATGATAATTGTATGATACAGGCTAACATTTATTGAGGGTTTACTATGTGCTATGCACTATGTGGAACACCTTTTAAGTGTTACTTATCAAAACAATCTTATGAGGTAGGTACTATTGTTCTCATTTTAAAGAGGAGTATGTGGCTTAGAAAGGTAATTGCCTGAAGTCCGATGCATAAAAGGCAAAACGGATGTTCGTAGAAGGGTTAGAGGGTTATCTCAGTGTGGCTTTTTTTTTTTTTTTTTTTGTCTGCAGAATTATCTCACGTGATCACTAGTCTCTTCAAGTTCTCACCTTCTTCATCCTCTCTCATGCACAGATAAGGTTTTTTGTTTTTGTTTTGTTTTTGAGACAGGGTCTTGCTCTGTCACCCAGGCTGGAGTACGCTGGTGCGATCGTGGCTCACTGCAACCTCAAACTCCTGGGCTCAAGTGATCTTCCCACTTCAGCCTCTTGAGTAGCTAAGACTATAGGTGCACACCACCATGCCCAGCTAATTTTTAAATTGTTTGTAGAGGCGGGTCTCCTTTTGTTTCCCGGACTGGTGTCAAACTCCTGGGCTCAAGTGATCCTCCTGCCTCAGCCTCCCAACATGCTGGGATTTGATGTGTGAGCCACTTTGCCCAGCCACAGATAAGTTTTAAAGTCCAGATGACCTGGATCTTTTTTTTTTTTTTTTTTTGAGACGGAGTCTCGGTCTGTCGCCCAGGCTGGAGTGCAGTGGCCGGATCTCAGCTCACTGCAAGCTCCGCCTCCCGGGTTCATGCCATTCTCCTGCCTCAGCCTCCCGAGTAGCTGGGACTACAGGCGCCCGCCGCCTCGCCCGGCTAGTTTTTTGTATTTTTTACTAGAGACGGGGTTTCACTGGGTTAGCCAGGATGGTCTCGATCTCCTGACCTCGTGATCCGCCGGTCTCGGCCTCCCAAAGTGCTGGGATTACAGGCTTGAGCCACCGCGCCCGGCCATGACCTGGATCTTAAGCCTTGGCTTTCCCCCTGTGTAACCCTGGGCTAGATACTTAACCTGAGTCTCATTTTCCTCATCTGCAGAACAGGCGAAATATTGACACACGTAACCATGCTCTGTTTCAGAAAGTACTTAATACATAAGTGGTGTAACAACTCTGAGGATAAATGAGATCTAAAATAAAGATTCACTGTATTAAATGCCTTTTATGTGCTGAGCACAGTTCTAATCTAAGCACTAGGCATCGAAGATAACAGTGGCCCTGGGATGGGATAAATTCTAAGGCAAAATAGTAGTTAAGAGCCTGGACACTGGAGTTGGACTACCTGGCTCTTACAGTGATATGTTACTAATTTCTCTAAGCTTCCATTTCTATATCTGAGTTAGTATCTACATGGAAGGTCCCTTGAGGATTAACAAATTAAAATATACTACACTGTTTAACATAGTACCTCATACATAGTAAGCACTCAATGAGTATTAACACTGATTTAATGCTTTGTGATATACTTACTCACTACATCACTTACACCAAAATCATGAAGGCATACTTGACTGACACTTGCTTACTTTGAATACCATGTTTACTCAATTTTGTCTCCCAAATATTTAAGTAGTTTTTTTTTCATTATCTCCTGTCATCATCTTAGTTATGACTGACATTTATAATATTGATTACAGAACTAACTTGCCAAATGGGCTCCCTGACTCAAGCAATCCTCCCACCTCAGCCTCCCAAGTAGCTTGGACTACAGGTGTGTGCCACCATGCCAGGCTAATTTTTGTATTTTTGTCAGAGACAGGGTCTCACTAGGTTGCCCAGGCTGGTCTCGAACTTCTGGGCTCAAGCAATCCGCCTGCCTCAGCCTCCCAAAGTGCTGAGATTACAGGCATGAGCCACTGCACATGGCCAGTATGATCGTTTCTATTCTGGTCCAGGAAAATAACTCTAAATGGAATTTTTTTCACCTCTTCTATTTCATGTCAGTCAAGGTATTTCATATTAGGTCCCACTCAAAGATAGCATGAGGGATTCTTTAAATGCATAGTTTTGCCAACTCAAGAGAAAAGGAAACCTTAGAGGCTTGATTCTAAATGCCCATTCTGGGAAAGTAGTATTTAGCATGAAGCAACCATAATTCATGCTTGCCATTCAGACAGGAAGTGGTTAGATTAATCTTTCAGCAGATGTTTTCTGAAAGCTGAAATAACTTCTCATGCATTGCCACTCCTGTAGCTTGATCACAACTAGAAAGGGTAGGCCAGGTCACATACATCTTCATCTTACTCGTTTCTTAAAGAAAAGTGTGATTAACAAGGTGATAAACTGAAGCAGTAACAGCTTCTATATAGAAACATGTTTTAAAATATTAGTTGTTGGCACCAGGCATCCAACAATGTTGGCAAGCTCTGAAAGCAAACAAACAAATTACTTTTAACAAAAGCAACAATTTTTATTATCTTGCTTTATATTTAATGGATTAGAACTATAAAAAGATTCTTACTTTGTAAGCAGAAATATAAGTTGGATAGTATTTGCAGATCCTTAATACCATTTTAAATTTCATTTATGACCCGCTACATTATAAATGAGATGCTCTAAAATAATAATCGTTTTTGTTGTTGTTATAGAACAATGAGAATTCCTGTTAGGAACACAGGTTACTGTTTACATTTGCTTGTTCTCTTAAATAGTATGAGAAAGAAGTAAGGTGGAGCTGTTGGGAAAGCCCATCGTGGACCTTTGGAGATTATCTTCTTGGTTCAGTCATCTCCACCACAGATTTTTAAGAGTGTGATTTCATAGTCTCCAGAAGTATCCGACTGCAAAGAACAAAATAAATGAAGAACAAACACAGTATAAATAGTGAGAGACCATAAATGAATCAAATCCTATAGCACTAGGGAATTCACCTGGGTGTGAGACTCATGAGCTATACCATTTAGTAAAATGTACCTGCAATTCCATCAGTCATTCATACCTGAGTGCAATTATGTTCTGACCATGATCTTCTTCACAGTAAATAACATTTAGATTCTTCTTGATATATTGTAGTTACATGTCAATTTGGGTTTAATAAAATAAGATTGCATCACTTACATAACATCAATTTCTAAAAAAATTCAAAAGATTATAGTTTTAATAATATTTATCAAACACTTGCTATTCAAAAGGCTTAATGTGTATTAGCTACTTTAACCCTTTTAAAAGCTCTCTGCAATAGGTACTATACATATCCCCCATGTAATAGATAAGTAAAATGAGAAAAACAGGTTAGGAAACTTGCCCCAAATCTTATTGAGAATAAGTGACAAAAGCAGGATTTGAATCCCTGTATCCTGGCTCCTTAATACCCTGCTACACTGCCTGACTTAGGAAAGTGAAATGAACCACATTTTTAAAGAATATGTTTGTCAGTTCCTTTTCCCAAGGCCAACCAAAAATAGATTGTTGTTCAGAAAAGATACCGTGTGAGGTTGAGGCTTAAAGGGCAAAGATAGCAAGTTTGTAACGCAAAAGACTTCATAGGAGGTAAAACTTGGCTTTCAACCTGGATTGTGTAAGATGCTCACATTATTTTTATTTTATTTGAGGCAACCCAACCAGTGAGCACTTTTTATCACTTAAGTTTCATATTTGAAACGGCTGTCACTGGGGTAAATATTAGAGTAAGTGGTAATATAAAGGAAGTCTCAGAGAAGGCTCATTTAGTGAAGAAGTTAAGCATTACTTTCATAGTAAGACAGAATAGGCATTTATATATATTGTTCTGTTTTCTTTATTTCTTGTTCATTTGTCTGTTTCACAAAATATATGACTCAATATTCTTCATTTTTGTATAGATTTCAGTTCTTATGCTGTTGGTTTTCCTGTCTTGCTCTGCAATAGCAGAGCTGACAAGTCAACAATGCTCCAGCTTTGTATTAAAAGAGCTCCTTCTAGACATCTCTGATCAGAATTTTAAACAATTAGGCCTTCTATCAGTTAGTCAAGAAAACACATCCAAGTAGCTCAAAGTATATTTCATACCACTAATGACTTACTTGACCTCTCCACATATCTTACATGGCTCAAAGACATCTCAAACTCAACACATGTAAAGCCAAACTCATAAACTTCCCCCAACTCCCCAAAAAGAAAAGTAAAAAAAACCCTAAAACCTGATCCTCTTGCAAGGAATGGCCCCACTATCTGTTTTCCAAGTTAGGAACTTGAGTGTCATCCTTGCTACCTTCCTTTCCTCACACCAAGATATTATACCAAGTCCCTTAGGTTTTAGCTCCTAAATATCCTTTGAGCCCTTCTTATTCTCCAGAATAAGAAGATCTCACAGGGATCTTTTCATGATCCTGATACTAACTCTTCAAGAGCTCATGCCCAGAACTCTTCAATGGCTTCCCCTTACTCTTAAACTAAAGCCAAAATTCCTTAAACATTGCCAAAAAGATCGTGCATGATCTGGCCCCTACATCCTCATTTTTCATTATGCTTCCTCCACCATGAGGCCTTTCTATTTGTCATTTCTTTTATTAGAATGTTCTATTGGCTCCCTTACCTCCATAACTTTTGCCTTATTAATATCTACTTATTTTCCAGATCTGAATCATGACTTTCTCATAGAAGCCTTTCCTGTAAAAGTCCTCCTATTATAGGATCTTTTAGCACAATGTCGCTTTCCTTTACATTAAACATAGTTGTAATTCCATAAGGACAGAAAATGTCTTCCCCCACCCCATCCCTTTGCTTATAATTATAACCCTGAGCCTAGCACATAATATGCATTTGATAAATATTTTTAATTGAATGAATGAATTTGCTGATTTCAAAGCTCTCTTTCAACTGAACTCATCTTGCTACTTGGATTTTATTTCTCAATATTCCCCAAGGTGGACCCTCTAATCAAACAAGTGCCTTATTACTTCTTTCCCTCTTGCCTCTTCCCATACCTGTTTCTAGAGCATTTACCTTTAAGACCCTATTGACCTGGGGTCTTAAAGGTAAATGCTCCAGCAGAGTACCTGGCCCATAGGAGACACTCAACACATGCTTGTTGACCTGAAAGGCAGGCTCAAGACCCATTTCTCTAACCCTAAACGTCTTTTCGTCTCAATTCCGATATTACTAGCTCTGTACTCAACAGTCTAGTATCTAATTGTATGTTGTTTCAATTATTATCTTCCAATTGTTTCTTTATAGCTACCTCAGGTCTCCACATAGATTATGAGTTGATTGTGAGTGGCTACTATATTTTCCCATAAAAAACTTGGAATTGTGCTATTTATTAAGTAAACACAGAATCTGTCCACCAAGGAAAACTACCAGAAAACATAATTTCATCTAAATTTTCCATAACATCTTCTTAATAAGTAATAAGAGGTACACACTGGTTTTCACCTCTGTTCTTCCTTGTCTTCTCCTTTCCACCAGTCACCCCCTGAGAAAGGTGTCAATGGACAAAGAAATGTCTAAACAATGGGTAGAAGGAAGAAGACAGGCAGGATTATAGGCTGAGATAATATGCAAAATGGAACTCTACCCCCTGAATTTCAAAAACAACCATCTAAAAAGATCCTGTTCACCAACAGCAAAACTATAATGAGATTACTTAATAATATATGTTAGGTAGTAGAAATAAAGAAATCTTATATTATTTCAAATTGCAAACTGAAGTTTTCAGTGATGGATTTTTCTTTTCTATCAACTACAAATAGCTTAAATGTTTTCTAATACAATAAGCCTCAATTATCCAGACCATTGGGGAATGGAGAGCCACTGGTTAATTTAATTTTCTGCTTTGCTGAGGGTGAACTGAAAGCCCTCTTTATGTCTCAACCTTGTTACTGACAATCTTTAGAAAATGTGTGAGTCTATTTTTCTGCCTTAGTAGCTACAATATGGTTAACGTTATTGAATCTTTCTCTGATGATTGAAACTATTGTGATGTGTCAGGACTGATTCAAATAGAATTGAGTGTGAGCAGTTGATGCAATTTGTGCTAAGCCCCAGGCACAGTCTGAGAACTGCCTTTTTGAGTAAGTTCCTGATTTCAACTTATTCATGCATCTCAGCATCTCTTTCTGTAAAAGTTTAGTGCAAAAACAAAAACTCTGATTAAAAAGAGAAAAATTTTAGTGAATGAATCTAGTTAACTGATTGATGTTCATTCATTCATTCATTCATTCATTCATTCGCCATTTGTAAAGTCAGAGGCAGGAACCTTCCCAAGATAGCTGCAGAAAGACCCAGGTTAATATTTATGCCTGGTCAAGGGTGGCTATTGCGGGTAGGGCCATAGTGAAGGTTGGACCAAAGACTCCAGCTGCTGGCAGTGACACTGGAATGTGGTCTAAGCCAGGTGTCCCCAGGGGCCATCGCTGGGTGTAAGCTCCCTCACAGAAGTAGGGCTCCAGCCTTGTAGGGGCTTGAGAGAGGGTGCTGCTGGGAGCTACCCAGGATGTCCATGGTGCATAATGATCCACAGCTTAGGGTATCTAATCAGCATAGACTCCATTCCCAGTTTTGGACCCTCAGTGCTCAGAGCAAACACTCTCTGCTTGGCTGCTGCTTCCCTCTTCATCCTGGATCGCCTTCTAGGACCCAACTCTCAGCTTAGACCTTGGAGAGTCTACCTGGGTCCAACACTCCCCGAGACATTCAAGGGTAGATGGAGCAGCAAAGAGATGGAGAGGTCTGCATAGTCTGCAAGTCCTCTGTGAAGACAGCCCTAAGCCTATCTTTTCCCCTGGTCAGTGTGGCCTTGGAGGCGAGGACTGTGGATTGCTCCACTCACCAATCTCAGCTTACACTTTGTTCCAGGGAACCAGCTTGGACTAACACTCTCTATCACTCATTTACTAGAGACTTTCATAGGTGGTCTGGAGCACGGAGGTAGAAAAGTAAATCAATGGAAGGCTGCTGAGCAGGTGCGGGGCTAGCTCCTTAGTTCACCACTAACTAGTTGCCATCTTCCTGTTGGGACTATGACTTTTGAACCATGAGCTTAAGGTACAGAAGCCTCTTGTACAATTTGTCAGCCTTACTGCCTTATTAATTCAAACAATTTGTAACTTATTTGAAGTTTCTATGTATAATATATCAACTGAGATCTGAAAACAATGAAAATGGTTTTCATGCTTTAAAACAGAAAGGAAGGAGCCCATTTTAGGAAGATGCTTATCCAGAATGAAAGAAACAGAAGGGACTAGATTTTTTAAAAAATAAAAAAAACTGTAAAAATTGATAAATTTAATTAAACAAGATGTGCACCCTCTGCTTGGAAAAAAATACATTCGGCCAAGTCAAAGGACAAAGAACGGACTGGGAAATATGACCAGACAAAAGGTTAGTCTACCTTATGTGTAAAAGGTCTTAGAAACTGACCAAAAAGAACAAAAACCCAAAAGAATGTGGACAAAGAATGTAAAAAGACAGATCACAGAAAGAGAAATACAAATGTTATTTAAAACATGAAAATACACTCAGTCTCACTTATACTAAGAAAAATGTATATTACAACTACACTGAGATACAATTCCTCACCTATCAGACTATGAAAACCCAAAAGTTTATCTATAGTCCCAGCTACTTGGAGGCTAAGGCAGGAGGATTGCTTGAGCCCGGAAGTTCTAGGCTACAATGTATTATGATCACACCTGTGAACAGTCACTGCACTTCAGCCTGGGCAACAGAGCAAGACCCCATCTCTAAAAAATGTTTTAAAAACCCAAAAGTTTGAAAATACCCTCTGTGCCAAGGCTATGGAGAAAGAAAGACTCATACATTCCTCATGGAATTGCAAAATGGAATTCGATTGGTAATATTTGTCAAAATTTTAAATGCATTTACATCTGTCTAAGCAATCCTACTTCTGAGAATTCATAAAGATACATTCGTACCTGAGGAAGTGGTGTATGCATTATACAACATTGTTTGTAATAGCAATAAACTGGAAGCCTGTTTGCTATGGTGAGTACAAATACACAAACAATGGAATGATATACAGCTATTAAATAAAACGAGAAAGTTTCCTATATACTGAAATGAGAAGCACTCTAAGCTGCAGAACCATGCTGTCTCATGTAAAACAGAGAGGAAATTTAAAATACATATTTTTCTTTACTTACATTGTCATAAAGACTGAAATAAATACATACGGTACAATATAAAAACACGTAACCAATTTGCATATGTAATTCACAGAAGAAGAAAAATTAGTGGCTAGTACACCAAAAAAAATATTGAGTGTCTATTATATGCCTGGGATTTTAGAGCTGAAAATAAGGGACACTGCAGCTACTGTTTTAAGCTCAGACAACACATGTATGCATTGACAAGGAGAGAGAAATCTAAGTCATATATCTTTATATTTTAAGGAATATAAGAGTAAGGAGATGGGTAGAGAAGGGCAAAATATGTTTTGCTATTTTTAAAAGTAGACTTACTTTAATTGCTGAATACAGGGAATAGCCATAATGCTTCTTGAACTCTATTCGAATGTCCAAAAGGTCAATTTCTGATCTGGACACCATTATTCGGTTCAGAGTAAACTCATCAGTTCCAGCACCCTGTTAAGAAATGCAGGTGTTCACAATACAAATGTCATTGGTCACAAAGCAACATGGAGATTTATATTTATAAGAATCAGATAATGGTGTGCAAAATATTCAACTACAGTGATTCTTATTCATTATTATCAAACTTATCATTCATTATTCAAGAAATATTTGTTGAGCACCTACTCTGTGCCAGCATCATGCTAAATGCTGCAAAACAGAGATAAGATACCCATGTTAAGCTTCCAGTTTTGTAAAGAATACAGGCAAGAAAGTAAGCCATTGCACAACAGTCTGACATGTTGAAAATATTGGGTACCATGGGAGCATACTTCAGGGGGGCCTAAGAAACATTAGGGATTAGGATAAGTCTGAGAAAGTGACATTTAAGCAAGGACTAAACAGTCAACAAGGGGAAGGAGTAGGTTCATGCAGGGAGGATAGAAAGGTCCTGTAGAGGAAATAGCAGGTGTGAAGGTTTAGGGCAAGAAAGAATGCCACGTTCAAGGATACATAAGTAACAAATAGGGATAACAAGAAAAGTGTCTGGAAAGGCCAGACCTTGTTAACCATGAAATGAAATTCTGACTTTATCCTAAGTGTGGAGAGCTACTGTAATATTTTAAACATCAGAATGTTGAGATCAGATCAAATTCGTGGTTTCAGAAAATCACTTTGACTGCAGCATGAGAAACAGATTGCAAGGTAGGAGTAGAGTGAAGATAAGGGAGTAAGACTGAGGCTTTGAGACTCATCTTGAGGAGACTGAGTAATTAAGGAAAGAGATGACTGTGGCCATCCCTAGAATAAAGGCAGTAGGGATGGAGAAAATGGGAAGATTTGAGAGTTGCTTATGTAAATGGATTGACAAAATATAATGAGGTATCACTACAGGATAATGAAAAAGAGAGATAGCGTAAAATTTCTAGCTGAGCAGTTAGGTGGATTTTGACCTAATGATGGCCAACATACTAAATGATATTCCATTCATCTATGTCCAGCAAATGCTTATGAGCATCGACTATAGCCAGGCATTATTCCATGTGCTGTGCATATGGTGGTGAAGAGAACAGATTATATCTCTGTCTGCGTGGACCTTATGTTCTAGTAGATGGAGACAGACAGTAAAGCAAATTAACTATTGCTTAAGTAAATAGTGATCAGAAATATGAAGAAAATAAAGCTGGAAATGGCGTGGAGAGTGACTGAAAGGGAACCAACCGGCCTGGTATAGTTAGGGGAGACCTCTCTCAGGAGGACAGCTGAGACCTGAAAGATGAGAAGGAGTCAGCTAGGGAAAGATCTAGAGGAGGAGCATTCCAGAGAAGGAATGGATGCAAAGACTGTGATGTGAGAATAGACTTGCCACAGTTGAGGAATGGAAAGAAGCCTGGGGTGGCTGAGGCATAGTCAACAAGGCTGGGGAGTAATGGTATGACTTCAGAGAGTTGGGCGAATTCCTGTTGGGGCCATTCTCTGGGATGACTGAACAGGGGAAGGGGAGCAGATCTGGGGCTGGGTGACTTGAGGGAAAGGATGTGTTCACTTGGGATATAACTTTGAAGGTACATGCGGGACTGCAGAAAATGGCCAGTAAAGAGATCGAGGTAAGCATCTTCTGTGCACAAGGCCCTGGCCTAGGGTCTGAGGATAAACAAGAGCCTGTACTCATGGAGCTCATCATCTGGCAGTAAAGACAGACAAGCAAACACAGGGTTACGGCATCATTAAAGGCCGCCCACTCAGCTGGGTTTATTTTAAGTAAGGCAGCTTGAGAGGCCACGGGATCTACTGGGTCTCAAGTTTGAGGTTTGGCATTCTAAAACAAGTTTTACTGCCTGCACTTACTGTGAAGTGGCGAAAATAATGTGGTCAATACTTTTCTGTATCTATCTCTATATGGATTAGAATACTATTAACCTATGAGACAAATTAGTAGACAAATTAGCTACTGTAGAAAACTAATCTAAGTGGAAAAGAAATATGACATTCTATCAACATTAAGTCATATTTTTACCTTCTCATTTTCTTTTTCTTTTTTTTTTTGAGACAGAGTCTCACTCTGTCACCCAGGCTGGAGTGCAGTGGCACAATCTCAGCTCACTGCAACCTCCGCCTCCTGGGTTCAAGCAATTCTCTGCCTCAGCCTCCCAAGTAGCTGGGATTACAGGTATCTGCCACCACGCCCAGCTAATTTTTGTATTTTAAGTACAGACGGGGTTTCACTCTGTTGGCTAGGTTGGTCTTGAACTCCTGACCTTGTGATCCACCCGCCTGGGCCTCCCAAAGTGCTGGGATTACAGGCGTGAGCCACCACACCCGGCCTGTCTTCTCATTTTCTATTTAAAATAGAGGATGAACTTTTAAAATCTAAAATTATACATAAATTTTCATCTTTCATACAAGTGGAATATTAGCATTTACTGAAACTTGTCATATTGGAGAAAATTAGACTGTTTTAGCTAAATACAAATCAAGCTATACCTACTTAGAAAAAAAATTATTTCATAAATCCAGGTCTGTTTATTTTGAAGAGAAAATCAAGTGTCTGTGTAAAGAGTGTACTGTATTATACCTTGATTTGCTGTAATATAATTTATCTTAAAATGTTCAAATTACATTAAAATAACTAATTTTTAAATATTTGTGCTACTATTTGCATACTTCCCCAAGGGAATTAAGGGACGCTAAGAATGCACACGAACTTTCCAGACCAACCTTCAAAGCTCGATGCAGTCTTTCTGCTAAAAAGGCCGGCGTGTTCCTCACACAATGCACTGTCATAAAAAGCAAAGTAATGTTCAGCTCCACGGAATAGAAATTGGGTTAATCTATAGTAAGTAACACGTTTTTTAAAAAGATTCTTTGGACTGTCATACCATTCTACCCCCTCCCCACAACTGGCTTTTACTTGGAATGAAAGAAAGGCTGCTTACCCTGATTTTCAAAGCCTTTTAACGTCATATTTGCACAGAACTTTAGCACAGTAATTATCTCCAGCCATGGGGAAAATAAAATTACCTGCCAAAGAAACTCCCACAGCGACTGACTCATCTCTGGATCCCAGACACATCGAACACCTACGCTTTCACTGATAACTCCCTAGGGTGCGACACTGCTCAGCTACTAACATCTCGGGCTGCTGATGAACAACTCGGGCCTGACAACTGCAGCGATGTTGCTCCAAATAACTCATTAGGCACGAAGGGGCACTGGAGTTCCATTTAAAAGCAATTTTTCCCATGGAAAGAATTTTCTTTTAAATAACTGGAGTAGAATTTACAGGCTGGTTAGAGTGACTCCATTAGAACAAGTACCTGTCATCTAAATTCAGTTGCCTAAAAAAAAAAAAAAAAAAAATACAATCTTCCAATTCTTTATTTTGAAATAACAAGAAAAGCAGAAATAAAACAAGAAAAAGGAGACTGACAAAAATGCAAGACTAAATGATCTTTTAAACAAAACGAAAATAGGAATAGAAAAGTCTGTAGGGAACAAAACCTATTTACAGCAACACAATTATTTTCCTAATCTTACATCTGATCTCTAGGTAGGAATCCAACCAAAAGTGAATGGATTTTATAATGAATTTTGGAGCTCAGAACAAGAATAACTGACTTTCACATCGTGGCTTATAGACTCTCCTAAGGAAAGCTAAAAGACTTTTGGCTTTTGTAAGTGATTTAAGGGAAATAGAAGGAGAAATGTATTAGAAACCCAAACACGGCATTTAGAATAAAACTGTTACATGAAGTTCTCTGACAAGAAACCAACCATTTAAACTAGTAAACTCACATTCAAGTAAGCCATAATAGCCTGATACAAAATAATGATGCCCACTTTCATCCTATTAAGCTTTTCAGTCACCTCCCTGCCAACTAGATTCGTACAATCCCTTCACGATCCTTTCTTCCCTTTAGCTTGCCTTCTGCTTTATGTTCTTACCTACTAGATTTGTTCTTTGTATCTGAAAGTTTTGGAAGGTGGCAGTATGTTTTAGTGGGAAGGAGGCCACCACCCAGCACCATAGGCAGGGAAGCTTGGGAGTCCGTTAGAGTTAATTACCATGACCAAGTATTCATAATTGCCCATTCCCTACCCTATTCATTGTCTTGACCACACTTTCGTCAGGCCTCTCTCCTCCCACAGGTTCCTGAACTCTGGCTTGTCCCCAGTCCCGAGCAAGCCCTAAAATGCAGAACATGCCTCTGTTGCAGCTTATCTTGAGAGTCCAGCTGTCCACCGCCAGACGTGTTTCCTGTCAATCCCCAACGATCACACCCTCGTGCTTGCCCAACATTAAAAGTTGCTGCTAAGACTTTTCTGTTGGATTTGGAAACTTTTGCACATTTTTTTCCCCCTGTCTTTTAGAGACACCCAGCCGAGTCTTGCATGTTTCTGAAATCAACATGTTCTCTCTATTGAAATAGTTTTTCTGAATAAAGCCTCTCCTTACTTAAGGCTGGATTTGTTTTTATTTGGCAGCTAGTATGCTCCTATTACACGATTCTAAGATGACACAGCTCAGATGGTTTTTCATGTCAAAAACTATGTGTTGACCATTGTATTGGATTCCTTGTGTATGAAATATGCAGAGTAGGCAAATCTATAGAGACAGAAAGTAGATTAATGATTACAGGAGCCAGGGGGTGGGGAGGATTGGAGAGTGACTGTCAATAGTTACAGGGTTTCTTATGAGGCTGATTAAAATGTCCTAAACTTAGATTGTGCTGATGGTTGCAAAACCTTGTGACTATATTAAAAAGCATTGAATTGCACACTTTGAATGGATGAATTTTATGGTATGTAAGTTATATCTCAATTAAAAATTTTAAAGACTGGTTTATTCCAATGGTAGACGGAAACAGAAAATGAAAGTGTGACATATTTTGAACTTCAGTTGAATTATAAGGTCTTTTTTAACATGATAAAATAATGTGTATTATAGCCCAAATGTAATACATAATTCAATGATATATTTCCAACAATGCTCCTTGGCTCAATGAATGAGAGTTTGTACGTCTCAATAAAGTTTTTCAAACATTACGGCTTAGCAAGAACACCAAATGAAAAACAGCAGGCAGAATTAATATAAAGATTAACAATATAGGCCAGGGGTGGTGGCTCAAGCCTGTAATCCCAGCACTTTGGGAGGCTGAGGTGGGTGGATCACTTGAGATCAGGAGTTTGAGACCAGCCTGGTCAACAAGGTGAAACCCTGTCTCTACTAAATATACAAACATCAGCCAGGTGTGGTGGCATCTGCCTGTAATCCCAGCTACTTGGGAGGCTAGAGGCACAAGAACCACTTGAACCCAGAAGGTGGAGATTGCAGTGACCTGAGATTGCGCCACGGCACTCCAGCTTGGGTGACAGAGCGAGACTTCGTCACACACCAAAAAAGAAAGAAAGATTAACAATATAAAATGGAAAAAAAAAATTAATCAGTTGTATCATTACCACTGGAACAGTCTGAGAACTAATTATGAAGACTGATCTCAATTCTACTTTTTTAATTGAAGAAGAAGGTTTTCCCTTTCTTAGCCTCCTCGGCCTATCTTTTAGCAATTCAGAGTCAACAGTGAGCTGAGACTGTGGCACTGCACTGTAGCCTGGGTGCCAGAGACTCCATCTCAAAAAAAAAAAAAAAAAAAAAGAAAGAAAGAAAAGAAAAGCCACTGATATCTTTCATAAATAACCAAATATGGTAGATTACCAAACTGGCTTAGGTCTTAGTTGCGTGTGTGTGTGTGTGTGTGTGTAAGTGTGTGTGGTTTTCTATAAAGAGACAAGGTCTTGCTATGTTGCCCAAGCTGGCCTTGAACTCCTGGGCTCCAACAATCCTTCTACCTCAGCCTCCCAAGTAGATAAGACCACAGGTGCACGCCACGGTGCCTTGCCTATGTTTCAGTTTTCAACAAAGCTCAATAAAAATGACAGTAGAAAAAAAATATTTCAGCTCTCAAGAAGTCTACAAGCTAAACACGGTCATAAGACAAATACAAACTTAAAAAGCAAAGTAAGATTTAAAAAGATGGCTGGATGTGGTAGCTCACACCTGTAATCCCAACACTTTGGGAGGCTGAGGTGGGTGGATTGCTTGAGCTTAGGAGTTCACGACCAGCCTGGGCAACATGGTGAAACCCCATCTCTACAAAAAATACAAAAATAGCTGGGCCAGGTGGTGCATGCCTATAGTCTCAGCTACTTGGGAGGCTGAGGTGGGAGGACTGCTTGAGCCTGGGAGGTTGAGGCTGCAGTGAGCTGAGATCACACCACTGCACTCCAGCCTGGGTGACAGAGTGAGATCCTGTTTCAAAAAAGAAAAAGAAAAAAGACTTAAAAAAATAACTTCTTCATGCATTCATTTAACAATATTTGCTGAGTGGATTGTGTGTATCCTGGACCATGATGGGGGCTGTAGGGAGCATAAAAAGATGGATCAGCCAGGATTCTTGCCCAAAAGGAACAGGCCTTGTCACTGAGTGAAAACAAGTGCAGAGTAACTTAGTTTACTAGCACTCGAAGGCTTACCTATGGCCAACAGTAAGTCTTCAAAATGCCCAGATAATTCTCCTTTTATGCTGTCCACAATGTCCTTTTGGCTGATATTTCTGTATTCATCAAATGCTAAAAGGAAGCACCACAAAATTATTTAAAGCAACCCAGTTGAGCACATTTGAATATATTCTAGTTTTTTATTTGATACACACAAGATCAAGTAGCAAGCTAAAAACCTCCCTCTTTAAACCATGAAAATCTGGGTACAAAAGTTTTTGTTTTTCTTTTGTTCCTTTTTAAGGAAATCATCTACGATAAACCCCAAACATCCCTAGATAATTTTCTTCAATGATCTCTCTCTTTCCCTTTCTCTCAAGCAGTAAGCATTTCAAATAACCTAAATAGTTAAATAATAAATACTTTATCTAGTAAGGTGGGCTATTTTAAATTTTATTTATAGCAGCACCTGGGAAACGATACTATAATCACTAGTCAAATATGTTTTCTCTGGTAAAGAAATCTCAACTCTGAAGACTTCCTTGCACTGAATAAATCATTTCCTAAAGCGGCATGGCCTACTTCACACCTCCCAGAAGGCATCCGAATTTCTTGATCAGTATTTGCCCCAAGCAAAACCTGTACATATGTCACCAAGTATACAGGCATATTTGGTAAGCCAAGTACATTTTCCCCCAATAAAATTTTTAAAAAAGAAATTTTGGAGAGAGACCTAGGGTTATCTGGTTTTTGTTTCTCAAACAAAGACATGAATAAAGCAACTATCACTTACTGTTGTCATTATTTTATAAAACAAATGTGATTTTAATGCCAAAAGTTAAGAAAGAACAATTCCAGAATTTCAAAGTCACAGTAATATCCTTATGTTTACTCATCGTTTCGTCAACTCAGCATAAGCTTGGTCTTGCTGTGTGGCTGTTCTGTAAACTAGCACCTGGAAGCCACAGTCAGAAGATGTTCACCGTAAATGGAGGTTTAGTGTTCTAGGTGCTGTTGCTTCCAGAACAGCTCTAGGAGATGCCATGAGCGAGAGGGTGGGTGCCCACAATTCCATGTAATAGCTGGTCTGATGATAAGAGTCGATCCATTCTACCATTTACCTTCATATCAGAAATAGCTGAAGGTTAATCAGTATTGATGTGTCAACAGAGACTCACCTGCAGTGTCTGGCTTTTCTGGAAGTGGCTAACTAGAGAGAACTGTTAGGTGGAGTGGAAGCAGTTGGGCTTCTCCATGCCACAGGAACAAGCCTTTCTACTCTCACCCTAGAGGTGGCCTCGTTTCTTCTTCCGGCCACCTCCCTCCCCCATCTATTACCTGGTACTCACTAGGTAATCTACTCAGCCTCTACGGAAAAACAAAAGTGTAGTGTCAGTACTTCCTTGAGTTACAATACAGCTTCCCCATTTTGTTTCCTGAAGTGTGAATAAATAAACTGGAACAGACTGCAATTTTAAACTTCATTTTTCTAGATCTTTGTATACTAAATGCAAAAACATTTGTAAAAACAACACACAACACGAAGGATTGTAATGTGAGTTCGTACTTAGTTTTAGTTGAGGAAAGCTCCTTAAACACAGGATCTCAGTGAATTTGTCTTCATCCGTGCCCCATCTGTTCTCACCAGCTTTATAGAGAATCTATTCGCAAGAGAATGTTATTAGAGACACAATTATTTTCTTTTTTTGAGAGGTGACATGAGAAGAATGGGAGCTGTATTTTCGAGGTCAGTGCAATCATCTATTATCAAAGTCTCTCACTTTCAGCAGACTAGAAATCAATAATTGGGCTGGCAGGAGCTAAGGAGAATGATAACTACCACTGGGGCAGGCAAACAGTTAGGGTTGGTATCCTCAAGCCTCAGGCTTCTCTTTCAAACAGGCAAAAAAAAAAAAAAAAAAAAAGCCCCCCCGTTGGTCTATTTTTCTCCTTTTTTCACATAAATGCAAAGGCAGCCACATAGGAGAATAGGTAAAGGAAATGTTTTCCCGCTTTGTTACTGACCTGGGCATCTTTTTTGGCCAGATGCTCATCCACTTTCAGACTTTCATCTCTTCTGCCCTAAACAGGGATGACGAAAACAAGGGCCATCCTTTAAAGACAGAAGATTCTAACACACGGTAACTCAACCAGCAAGGGATCTTAGTGGTTTTTTTTCAAGGCAGGACAGGTTGCACAGAAAAATCAGGTACTCTGGGCTCCAGTTCTGTTTCTGCCATTGACTAGTCGTGAAATTTTTAGCAAATCACACAATTTTATGGGCCTCAGTTCCCTTCTCTGAAAATTCATATATATATATGAATCTTATACATACATTCATACATATATTCATATATACATCTATTCATATATACATACATTCATATATACATACATTAATATGTATTCATATATACATACATTCATATATATTCATATATACATATATTCATATATACATACATTCATATATATGAATATATACATATATTCATGTATATATATATATATTTAGTGACAGGACCTCACTCTCTGTCAGCCAGGCTAGAGTGTAGTGCTGCAAATGTAGCTCACTGTAACCTTGAACTCCAAGGCTCAAGCTATCTTCCCGCTTCAGCCTCCTGGGTAGCTAATGTGACTACAGGTGCACACCACCACACACAGCTAATTTTAAAATTTTTTTTAGAGATGGGAATCTCACTATGTTGCCCAGGTTGGTCTCAAACTCCTGGCCTCAAGCTGTGCCCCCACCTCAGCCTCCCAAATCTCTGGGAATACAAGTGTGGGCCACTGTGCCCAACCCAACACAGAGGTCTTATGTGGAAGAAAAGACAAGGTACAAACTGGGAGAACATATTTGTAACATACATCCGATAAAGAACTTGTATCCAAAATACATAAAGAACTCTTAAAACTCAATATGAAAATAACAACCCAATTTAAAAATGGTTGAAAGATCTCAATAGGCATCTCACCAAAGACGACACAGAGGTGGCACATGAAAAGACTCTCGACATTGTATGTCATTAGAGAATTACAAATCAAAACAATCAGATGCCACTACACAACCTGTTAGAAGGGCTCAAATCCAAAACACTGACAACACCAAATACTGGTGAGAATGTGGAGCAACAGGAACTCTCATTCACTGCTGATATGAAAGCAAAATGGTGCAGACACCTTGGAAGACAGTTCTGCAGTTTTTTTTTTTTATAAAGCTAAATATCTCTTACTATATGATCAAGCAATTGCACCCCTCGGTACTTAACCAAAAGAATTGAAAACATGTCCACACAAAAACCTCCACATGAATGTTTACAGAAGTTTTATTTACAACTGCCAAAACTTGGAAGCAACCAAGATGCCTTTCAGCAGGTGAAATAAATATTCTATACATGGAATATTACTCAGTCCTAAAAAGAAATGAACTATCAAGCCATGAAAAGACATAGAGGATCCTTAAAGGCATATAGCCAAGTGAAAGAAGCCAGCCTGAAATGGCTACATACTGTATGATTCCAACTATAGGACATTCTAGAGAGGGCAAAACTATAGAGACAGTAAGATCAGTAGTTGGTGGGGAGGAAGGTATGAACCGCCAGAGCACAGAGGATTTTTAGGACAGTGAAACTACTCTATCATACTGTAATGGTAGACATATGACATTATACATTTATTAAAATCCATAGAACTATATGACAGAAAGAGTGAACCCTAATGTAAACTACAAACTTCAGTTAATAATAATGTATCAATATTCATTCATCAACTGTAACAAATACACATACTAATACAAGAGTGAGACCTTCTCTCTCTCTCTCTCTAAACAAAACAAAACAAAACAAAACAATTAGCCAAGGTGGTGCTGTGCACCTGTGGTCCCAGCTACTCAGGAGGCTGAAGTGGGAGGACTGCTTGGGTCCAGCAGGTCAAGACTACAGTGAGCTGAGATCACAGCATGGTTCTCCAGCCTGGGCAACAGAGCGAGATCCTGTCTCAAAATAATAATAATAATAATAATAATAATAATAATAATAACGGAAAGGAGAGAGTAGAAGAGGGGCATATCAGAGCTCTCTGTACTTTCTGCTCAATTTCTCCATAAATCTGAAGCTGCTCTAAAAAGTAAAGTTTATTTAAAAAAAAACAAAAAAAAAACCTCAAAGGCCAGGCGCAGTGGCTCATGCCTGTAATCCCAGCACTTTGGGAGGCTGAAGCGGGTGGATTGATTGAGGTCAGGAGTTTGAGACATCCTGGCCAACATGGTGAAACCCTGTCTCTACTAAAATACAAAAATTAGCCAGGTGTGGTGGCATGCGCCTGTAATCCCAGCTACCAGGGAAGCTGAGGCAGGAGATTTGCTTGAACCTGGGAGGCAGAGGTTGCAGTGAGCCGAGATCATGCCACTGCACTCCAGTCTGGATGACAGAGTGAGGCTCTGTCTCAAAAAAGAAAAAAAAAAAAAAAGTCCTCAAAAGTCCCCAAACCAACTGTAACATTAAAGGTTCTATGGTTTAAGTGATGTTTGTGTGCGTGTGTGTGTGCGGTGTGTGTGTGTTCATGTACAAATACTTAAGCACATTATAGAAAGACAGGAGACAGAAACAAAACATGGGATTACCTGAATTATTTGGCAAATTACAGGCGAATGAAACATTTAGCTACAATTGTTTAAAATGAATTTGTTCGTATTTTCAAACTTTAGGTCCTTGCATGACTGTCTGATTTCTGCCTGGTTTCTTTTCTGTGCTGCTGATACTCTGCTGCTGTTTGCTTTCTTCTGGTTCTCTTTCACTGTACACTCTGCTCCAATGATATAAATGCTGATTATCATTGGTCTTAATATAATACTAACAAACCGCCACCACCCTGTGTTGATCACTAAGTACTTCACATGCTCTCTGTTTCTGTTAATCTTCATAACACCCTATGAGTACTTGGCATTATTAGTATTTTAGTTTTACAGATATGAAAATGAATGCTTTAAGACTTAAAGAACTTGTCCAAATATACAAAGCTAGTAGGCAGCATGAGATTCCAGCCCTGTTTGATTCTAGAACCCTGTGCTAGAGCCCTGCTCTATACTGCCTCCTGTGGGTGGGTGTGTTCATGTCCATACACAAACAGATGTGCACTTATGAATATATACCTCTGAGAGCATATGTCTGCAGCAATGCTTCATAAATTTGGTGTTGTGGGTTCAACCTTCATAAGGTTTTCACATTTAAAGTAATTGAAACCATAATTTAGATAAATCGCTTCCTAATGCCATAATGTCTCACTTTGACAGGTGCTGTTTCAACCATGAGGCTGAGACCATTGTTGGGATTTTCTCACACTTTAGGTGCTATGTAAATCAGCTGAAAGAAAATTGGTGAGATATGGTTTAAATCACTTTCTCTCTTACACATAGCTATGAATATATCTCCTCTTTGACTTTACCATCTTTATGATAAAAGTCATGAGCCTTCTACAAAGAGAAAGCAAGGTGTGGCCTCATTAGGTCACATAGTGATTAATAGTTTGGCAGCTTTTCCAAGGTGGCAAGGCTGAAGTTGCAGCAATCACTTTCTTTTTTTAATCCTGAGACTGATACTCATTTGTTAGTTTAATTCCCATCTCTAAAGACAATTCTTCTGTATCATGCTTCCTATTTAATTTAGAAGCTAACAAAAGAAATATTTATTCTTTGGAGTCCAGAAGAAAATAAACCTGTTCTTTAAAATGGAGACACTTATAATGGAAATAAATATTGTATGTCGGATGATGTATCAGAATGCCTTCTAATGTCAAAATTGTGAAACCTGACCAAAACACCTCCACTTACTGATTCAAATAAGTTTTCTTTGTTGTTACATCATTATGTATGCTTTTATGATCTTGGTTAAACATTACATTGCTTGGTGGCAATGAAAATGTAAAATGAACAAACCATCTCATAAGGAAAATTGTGAACTAATTGTCTCAGTTTGGTTATTTTTAAACTCCCTAAAAATTATTATTGAGCATGCAGATTACTGGGGAGTTAAAAAATAAAAAATAAAACCTTACATCTGCCAAAGTCAACAGAGCTTTCCGGAAGTCACCAGATGTTTCCGAACTAATGTCATCTCCAAGACTCTTCTTGTATACTGAAACCAAATCAGAATGAAATTAAGCCTTGACAAACTGAAAAATACGATTATAAAACAGAAAAGTTTAAATGCCAACACTAGCAAAGAATGGGTATGTGATAAGACAAATCTTGCCCTTTAATTTCTTCATGCTTTTCTGTTGTGAGATGGTACATTCTTCTTGTAACTCTTACTGCACTGTGTTGTGGTAAATGCAAAAGAATAGAAAGAGTTGTCATTCTGGAGCAAATCATGGTTTATTTCATCTGACAATGGCACTAAGGGATGCATAGTGGAAAAGCTGGGGTGGATGAGCTACTAGTTTGCCTTTCAATTTCCATTCTGACCATCTTCCATACTAAGAGAACCCTAACCTTAAGCAAGATACAATGCACACAGCTTAAAAACTATATTCCCAGCTTTCCTCTTAGCTAGTGCAGTCCTATAACTTAGTTCTTCACAATGAAATGAAGGCAGACAAATATGACTTTGCTGGGAAATCTCCTTAAAGGGATGGGACCACGTTCATCTTAGTCCTTCCTCCATTTGACTGCCTTACATGTGAACTGATATCTGCATCTTGGGCAGCCATCTTGGACTGTGAAGATAAGGACCACTTCCTAGGGATGGCATAAAAGTAATCAAGAAGAAGCCTGAGTTCCTAAAAGCTTTTAGTAGCTGTCATACTAGTCCTAGAATTGCCAATGTCTAGACTTCTACATATGATTAAAATAAACTTCTACTTTTTGTAAGCCACTGTAATTTTTCTGTTTTATTGAATCTAACCCTAATCGCAAGGAATATAACTAAACTATATTTTTTAGTATCTCCCAAAAGTAAGAAAGCTACCTCAAAACATGCCATCTCCCTTTACAAATGCCAATTGTGTGTTCATGTATTTCAGTACTGACTAGATGTAGCCCCTTTTGCATGACCTGTGATGTGTGGTGCCCATCAGTCTTAAATCTCTGTCTGCCCCATCCATGGGGTGGTGATTCTCTTGGAGCCACTATACACCTGGTTGTAGGTGACACCATGTGGCTATTTGAACTCTGTCTTTATCATTCTCAAGAACTCTATAAATTATCCATAATAGCCATGAGAATTCTCATCTGTTTAAACCAATGAAAGACAATTATAGAAAGTGATATGAGATTATCCAATAGCAAGAACTGCATTGAGATGGAAACTTCTTCAGCATGATTTTAGTAAGTCTCCTTTTTATGAAATCTAATTTTTCAAAGCAATTCATATAAGCAAAATCCACCAAAAATGTGTGTTATTTTTCTAAATAATAATATTTAGTAGGCATCATTAAACCTAATAGTTGTGATATTGTTACATCTATCCTTCATTCTGGCTAGATAAAAACTTTAAATTTGAAAATATCAAGTAAAAGAATGAAGCTGCCATTTGTTAGAACTTGGGGAAGTATTTTATAATTTTGGAATTATTTAGATGAGACTCTATAAGTCATTTCACACAGCCTCTCCCTTTTCATGAAATATTTTGTGGGAAATTAGACTAAAATATTATTTCAATCTAAGCTGACAACTACTTTATGCATTTTGAGGCACAGTAGAGTATAAAATTAAATAGAGTATTTTAACAATACAGGTGTCTGGACTAGAACTTTGAGTTCCTGATACCTGTTTCAGTGTTCCCTCACACACCATTGACTTTAGAATACCAAAAAAAGTTAATAATTTAGATCTCTATTTATTTAGACCCTATTGTGCCACTGTACCAGATACGCTATACAAGACATCTGGTCCCTTTATGAGGGCCAACTTGATCGTGACTTCCTGAACCCATTGTATCTTCTGTCTTAGAGAAGGAGTGACACAGAAAAGGAGACAAAGACAACAGAATAATAAAGAACTGAAAGACTCCTAGAAATAATGAAGAAAACAGTAGCCAAGAATAACCAAAAACTATGCACAAATATTTATAAGCCTTGGGTAGACAAACACCATGTGGTAAGGGAAGGGATGTTACTTGCTGGTGTCAAGAACATGAGAAGCAAAAAGGAAGAGGAATCGTTACTGTCATGGAAAACATCAGCACGGGAAGCAATGGATGCCTGCGGCCGAGAGACTGACAACATAGCTGGGTCCCTCAGGTAGTGCTGTGACTTGAATCTCTGTAAAGCTTGGCTATGCATGATTGAGACAATTTCCTTCTTGATCTTCTTGTGTATCATTAATCTCTAGTAACCAAGGTAACCTTGATGCAGTTGTATCCCTTGTAGCCTCAGAGAGCATTACTCACATAGAAATTGAGGCTCTGGTAACTTTGTGCTATTATCATTTGTCATATCTTCACAACACTATCCTGAATGCTAAAAGTTTCACTTGGCTCTTAAGACCTTAACCTCAATTTTGAGGACACTCATTTAATAAATATTTGCACTTATCTCCCCCACTGTTCTTAGAACTGAGGATACAGTAGTGAACAACATAGACAAAAATCTTCATCCTCATAAAGCTTACATCCTGGAAGTGTTTGTACCTAAATGCTGGGCTCCAGGGATCTGTCACAGGGCAGGTCCACTAGGGGAGCAGCGACTCTTCTAAGAAACACCAGAAAATACCAAGCCAACTTGGGATACAGTGCATTGCTCTGATGATGGGTTTTGTAAAATATGTAAACCTTGTTGAACTGAAATATTTTAAACACCTACAACATACCCTTTGTGCATTAATGATGAAGCAGTTCTCTTGTCTACTTCTTTCTGTTCCCACTCCCTTTTAGGTTCCACCAGTAGTAGGGAGTAGAGGGGGACTGGAAGGCAGGAAGTGGAAAGAAGTGCAAGATATTTGATGGCTATTCATATCAGTGTCAACCCAGTGAAGGTCGTTCACCTTGACAGCAGCAATGGCTCTAGTTCCTAGAGCAAGTCACTTTCCCTCTTTTCAGAGGTCTGAACTCCTGCTCCTTAAGCCTCTGCTCTGAGCCCCTAAGGTACCAACATCAGCCAGGTATATCCCTCTTCTAACTTCCAGTTTCTGACAAACTCAACCTCTTTCCTCTGTTGTCTCAGGTCTGGGGGGTTATACTCTGCATGAATCCCTTTGTTCCCCTTTTCCTTTTTTAGTTCTCTGAAAGGTGTTTAGCAATTCTTTTTTTTTTTTTTCCAAGACAGTGTCTCAGTTTGTCACCCAGGCTGGAGTGCAGTGGCATGATCAAGGCTTACTGGGGCCTCAATCTCTTAGACTCAAGTGATCCTCCCACTTCAGCCTCCTGAGGAGCTGGGACTGTAGGCGTGCACCACCACACCCGGCTAATTTTTGGTATTTTTTGTAGAGACGGGGTTTTGTCATGTTGCCTGGGCTGGTCTTAAACTCCTTGGCTCATGCGATCTGCCCACCTCAGTTTCCCAAAATGCTAGGATTATAGGCGTGAGCCACTGTGCTCAGCTTAAGCAATTCTTTTGAGACGGAATCTCACTCTGTTGCCCAGGCTGTAGTGCAGTGGTGCGATCTCGGCTCACTGTAACCACTGTCTCCTGGGTTCAAGCAATTCTCCTGCCTCAGCCCCCTGAGTAGCTGGGACTACAGGTGCGTGCCACCACGCCCATTTAATTTTTTTTTGTATGTTTTAGTAGAGAGAGGATTTCACCATATTGGCCAGACTGGTCTCAAACTCCTGACCTTGTGATCCGCCGGCCTTGTGATCAGCCTCTTAAAGTGCTGGGATTACAGGTATGAGCCACCGCGCCAGACCCTTTAAGCAATTCTTTTTTTTAATTGTTTTTTTATTTTTGAGACAGAGTCTTGCTCTGTCACCCAGGCTGGAGTGCAGTGGTGCAATCTCGGCTTACTGCAACCTCCGCTTCCAGGGTTCACACCATTCGCCTGCCTCAGCCTCCGGAGTAGCTGGGACGATAGGCGCCTGCCACCATGCCCGGCTAATTTCTTTTTGTATTTTTAGTAGAGACAGGGTTTCAACGTGTTAGCCAGGATGGTCTCGATCTCCTGACCTCGTGATCCGCCTGCCTTGGCCTCCCGAAGTGCTAGAATTACAGGCTTGAGCCACCGCGCCCGGCCAGCAATTCTTTATATCACATTTTATCTGTCAAAATATCTAGTGCTGTTTCTGTTTTTCTGATTAGAACCCAATTAGCACATCAATAACAAAATAGTTACCTGTCATTGAAGTATTTACCTTCTAACAAGAATTTCCCAAAGCAACCTCTTTAACACCCACCTGAGGACCAATATGTACTCCTTCTTTGGACCTCTCCCATTGCAAAAGCTCCTATGACACAACTGACCTCCGTGAGACACAAACAGAGAAACTGTGGCTTCCTTAAAGTACTTGGAGAAGGTTCTATGGGGCTGCTGAATAGTAAAGAATTGGGCTGGTCTTATTCCTGATTCCTGGGAGGTAAACTCTAAATCCTTTGGATTTCCCAAGTCATAGGTGTGTCTTTATTACTCATGGTTGGTCTCTTGGACTGCAGCTCAGTTATGCTAACAAGATGACTTAGAATAAAGGCTGGTCACATTAGAAAGATCAACCATATGATTAAAAGGTTGAGGCTTTGAGCCACAATATCAGCCTGACGTTTGGGGAGTGTAGGGGGACTGGAGATTGAGTTCAATCACATGAACAATGGTTCAACCAATCATGCTTATATAATGAAACACCAATAAAAACTAAGGCTACTAATAATCAACTGAGCTTGCAGGTTGGTAATGATATATCAATGTGTCAGTAGAGTGGAAGCTTCCACTGGACCCTTCCCAATATCTCCCTATGCAGTCTCTGCATTTGATTGGCCCTGATTTGTTTCCTTTATGATAATACCGCATTTGTCAATATAGCACTTTCTTGAGTTCTGTGTCATTCTGGTGTGCTATTGAACCTGAGACAGTAGTGAGAACCCTGAATTTGTAGCCAGTCGGTTAAAAGCATGTGTAGTCTGAAAACACCTGAGCTTGTGGGCTGGTGTCTGAGGTGAAGGTAGTCTTGTGGGGACTGTGACCTTAACCTGTGAAGTCACACTAACCCTGGGTAGTTAGAGTCAGAATTGCATTGCAGAGACTTTCTAACTTTACACAGCCAGCAGACTATTAGGTCTTTTAACTAATTCTATTGAATCCTCATGCTCAACACATTCTCTAAATTAATCTAATTTCCCACACCAAAAATCGTGGATCTAATCTGAGTGATTTTTAACACCTCATAATAAAATATGATCTGAGTCTCTTCCATTGATGAAAATGGTTAATTCAATTAATGAGAGATTGCTGAGAGCAAAATCCACTGCAGCTATAATATTATGAACGTAAAGCATTAATGCTATTGTTATGTAGCAGTATCTAGCTCAGATCATATTCCAATTTTTCCTGGAAACCCATAGTCTTCAGCTGATTTTAGAATGTATTTTCCTTTCTATAAGTCTTGTCTTCTCAAAATGCCTCATGAAGAGATTGGGAGGATTCTGGGAAAAGCAACATTGGCTTGAATATGTGTGAACAGTGGTGAAGGTAAGCAGAAAATAAGATACTTGTATAATAGGCTTGAGAGATCTCCTTCATTTGCCTGCTTGTCCTGGTAGTTAAGATTTCAGTCAAGGCATCTTCATTTGTTCCAGCACCCTAAAAAGGAAAAGGAAATCTAATTTTTAGAACACTTAAATAACTTAATCTCATGCCTTTTGGTCTTAATATCTTGTTTTATATAGATGAAATGACAATTTTGAGTAAATCAATACAAGGTTCTCTATTGCTCTAAAGTAGTTTTCTATTTTTCCATATATTTTAGTATTAACATAAATCATCTGGAATAAAGTGACATCAAATTTTTCACTCTAGTGTAAAAATCAATTGAATAATTCTAGAAATATATAGTACAAAAGAAAAAGCCTGTGTCATTCAAGATCAGAAGTGAGAGTCTAACAGGATTAACCCTAGCAACATTCAAACATGCCACTATGTTTAGAAAAGGCTCTACAATACTTTTGAATGAGTTCATCCTTGCATCACTGTACTGGGTCTATCAGCACGTATCATCCTCTTCATACAGGGAGATTTTCAAATCCTCAGTAATGTGCATCATGGGCCCGGCTGGCATGGGGACTAATTACCCGTCAGCCTTGTTTATATCAAGGTCACTGAATCACACTGTGACTCCAAGAAAAGTCATGTACACTAAGACTTGATCGAATAAGGCCAGTGCAGCATATGAACAGAGACTGAATTCTGTCTCTCTGTAGCTGAGATTCCTAGTTTCCCACAGTACCTCTTTTGTCTTTCTTGCTTAGTAATAGAACCCCCAGCTTGTAACTCGGTACATAGCTACCCAAATAAAGGCTATGTTTCTCAGCTTCCTTTACAGTGAAATATGTCCACATAACTAAACTCTGACCGATGAGATATAGGCAGAAGTACCATATGCATGCTCAGGGAGTATCCTTAGAGTGAGGGAGTGAACCCTTCTTTGTCCTTTACTCTTTTGAGTTGACTGGAATGAAGACATAATGACTGAGTCATGAGCTGCCATCTTTAACCAAGAAGTGAAAACCATGGGTTAAAGAAGGCAGACCCTCAAGATAGTAGGAGCTTGAATCTCTGATAATGGTGGTGCCATCACAGCCTGCTCAGGGCTACTTACTCTGGATTTCTTTTATGTAAAAGAGAAACTGTTCTAATACTTATTGGTGAATCTAATCCTTACAATTACACCTGCTAAACCCTCCCCATTGGGTAGCCATAGAAAAACAATGCTCAGACTTCACTTCAAGAGAATCAGCTGCAAAGAATGCAGTTGGCTAACAGCCTCCAACTGCCACACCTTTAGATCTACCAGAGTTCACACTGAGGTCATGCCCTCTCCAGGTGGCTGTCAGTCAATGACTGTAAACAGCAGGGGTACTGGACTTGCACCCAACACAGAACTCCTCCAAAGGGCAGTCTTTGCTCAGGGGCTCCCCAACAGCCTGCCAAGGCTTTCTTGGAGCTTCACCATGCACTGAGGCTCTTCCTAATCTCAGCCTACTTCCTCTCCTCTCTCTCACAGGTGTCAGGTCTGCACTGCAGTCTGAAGGTTCACCCCACCTACCCTGCTCTTCTCCTCTTTATCCTTCACAGGCGTTTCTCACAATAAATCTCTTGTACATCAAATTCCATCTTGCCATCTGCTCCTCAGATGCCCATATGTCCTCCATGGAAAAGAAGATAACTCCATTGCCTGATGACAAGGCAGAATATGGCTTATGCCTAAGATCTAGGCTCCCTTCATTTTCCTCCTTCCTATTAATTAATATGTTGAGCACCCACTTCATTTCAGAAGTTGCTCTAGGAACAGAAGATATAGGCCAAGACCAGTGAGGTTCCTTGCCATGGTGGAGGTTTGCCTTTTAGTTAGATGAAAAAAGGTAATAAACAAATGGATTTTAAAAACAGACAAGGCCAGGTGCAGTGGCTTACACCTGTAATCCCAGTACTTTGAGAGGCTGAGGCGGGAGGATTGCTTAAGCTCAGGAGTTTGAGACCAGCCTGAGCAACATAGCAAGACTCTGTCTCTACAAAATTTTTTTTTTAATCAGCCAGGTGTGGCAGTGTGTGCCTGTAGTCCCAGCTGCTCAGGAGGCTGAAGTTGGAGGATTGCTTACCCGGGAGGTTGAGGCTGCAGTGAGCCATAATTGCACCACTGTACTAGAGCCTGAGCAATGAAGCGAGACCTTGTCTCAAAAACAAATAAATAGACAAGATACTTTTAGGCAGTAATAAGTGCAGGTAAGAAAATATATTTGAGTGAATTAATGGAAAATGTCTGGAGGAAAAGCATTCCAGATGGAAGAAACATCATGTATAAATGTCTCAAAACAAGAATAAGCTTATGATGTTCAAGGAGCAGAGAAAAGGTCAGTGTAGCTACAGCATTAATGGGTGAGCAGGAGGGGGTATGATGGTCAGTTTTATGCGCCAGTTTGGCCAGGCTATAATGCCGCTTATTCAATCAAACACTAATCTATGTGTTGCCGTGAAGGTATTTTGTAGCAGTTTATTATTGATTCACTTTAAGTAAGGGAGATTACCTTTCTCGGCAGACCTGATCCAATCAGTTGAAAGGGCTTAAGACCAGAGGTGAGGCTCCTGTTTAGAAGATTCTTTCTGTGGACAGCTTCAGCTTGTGCCCAAGAGTTCCAGCCTGCCTTTCCTGACAGCCTGCCCTACAGATTTTGAACTTGCCTAACCAATCCCATAATCATGTAACCAATTCTTCTTCTTCTTTTTTTTTTTTTTTTGAGACAAGGTCCCAGGCTGGAGTGCAGTGGCAGAGTCGTGGCTCATTGCAGCCTAGACCTGCTGGGCTTAAGTGACTCTCCCACCTCAGCCTCCCAAACAGCTGGGACTACAGGCATGAGCCACCATGCCTGGCTAATTTTTTTTTTCTTCTTCTTCTTCTTTTTTATTATACTTTAAGTTCTAGGGTACATGTGCACAACGTGCAGGTTTGTTACATATATATACATGTGCCATGTTGGTGCGCTGCACCCATTAACTTGTCATTTACATTAGGTATATCTCCTAATGCTATCCCTCACCCTCCCCCCTCCCCACAACAGGCCCTGATGTGTGATGATCCCCTTCCTGTGTCCAAGTGATCTCATTGTTCAATTCCCACGTATGACTGAGAACATGCGGTGTTTGGTTTTCTGTTCTTGCAATAGTTTGCTGAGAATGATGGTTTCCAGCTGCATCCATGTCCCTACAAAGGACACTTAAGACCTGGGCTTAAGTAATTCTCCCACCTCAGCCTCCCAAATAGCTGGGACTACAGGCATGAGCCACCACGCCTGGCTAATTTTTAAAAATTTTTTGTAGAGACAAGTTCTCACTATGTTGCTCAGTCTAAGGCTGGTTTTGAACTCCTGAGCTCCAGCAATCCTCCCACCAAGGCCTCCAATTCTTTCCAGTAAATTTTTGTTGTTGTTGTTTTGAGACAGGGTCTCACTGTCACCCAGACTGAAGTGCAGTGGCACAATCTTAGCTCACTGCAGCCTCGACCTTCTGGGCTCAGGTGATCCTCCCACCACAGCCTCCCAAGTAGCTGGGACTACAGGAATGCACTACTATGCACAGCTAATTTTTTTTTATTTTTTGTAGAGACAGGGTTTCTCCAAGTTGCCCAGGCTGATCTCAAACTCTTGAGCTCAAGCAATCTACCTACCTTGGCTTCCCAAAGTATTGGGATTACAGGCATGAGTCATAGCACCTGGCCTTACAATAAATCTTTTAACGTCTATGTCCTGCCTATTGGTTCAGCTTCTCTGAGGGAACCCTCACTGATATAAATAGAATTTTAAAAAGTCACCAGGTTAGACAGGACCTGCACTATTGGGTAATGAAGGTCATGATAAGCAGCTTGGATTTTAAGTGTTCAAAGCCATTGGAAATTTATGCAGGTAAATAACATAATCTGATTTTTTAAATAAATTAATAAAAATAATTTTGGCTATTCTGTGTAGAATGAATTTGAGGTGGGCAAAAATGGAGGCAAAGGGACTAGTTAGAAGCCTATTGATACGGACCAGTCAAGAGATGATGGTGGTCAGGCTAGAATAGTAGCAATGGATTTCGAGAGAAGTGCACACATTTACAGTGGATTTGGAAGTAAAACTAATGAACTTGCTGATAGATTTGGGAGTGTGGAAGGGTAAGAGAAAACAAGGGCTCAAGGATAATGCTAGGTTTTTAGCTTCAGTGTTGGGGTTTATGACAGTGCCATTTACTTTCAATGATGACAAACTAGAGAACTTGACTCTTCATGTCAAACAAAGGATATGACAAAATTCTTCCAGCCCAGGAACATTTGGGCTTAAGGTTCTACAACTGTTCCCTATTTCAGAGTCATTCTACCACTGGGAGAGTACAGACCAAAATGGCATCCAAGTCCACCCATCACAAGTGTGCACTGCCAGAAAGTCACTATTTTTGATGACTCGGTCAAACCCTGGGCAGAAATGGCTTGTGGGGGGCTCATACCTTCATGGATTTCTTTAGCTGCTTTGCATCAAAGACTGCTGGTGGAGTCACTAGGGCCACCATGAGATGCTCAAAATGGCCAGAGAGATCACCCTTCAAGTCATCTTTCAGCTCCTAAAATCAAAAAACCAAGGAGAAAAATGTGAAATACTTTTCCTCTCTCTTCCTCTAAAGTCACCTAGTGAAAGATGAACATATGTATCAAAATCAGGCAAAACACGTCCATCCACAGGGAATAAACAGAAGTGTTGAAAATATTTCTATGACTATTAATCTGCATTTTCTAATTACTCCCAAATTGTTCTGTTTTGTAGAGGTTTTTTGAAGGAGAGCCAAATGGGAGGACTTCATGAGTGCCACAGTTAGGAACTGTATTCAAATGCATTTCCTAGGTCCCCCGTGCTTTCAATGCTTAGGTTGGGGTGAGGGAAGAGGAAGAGGAACCCTTATAAATTCACACGCAGCATCACTGGGAGGTGCTCTATTCCTGGGTGTCCTGCCTCTCAGTAACTCCCAAAGAGCTCCAAGAGGAAGGGGAAGGGAGGACAGTGGCTGGCCATGTGTCTCTGGTGAGAACGTGGAACTAGGTGGCATCTGAAGCAATTTTCTGGCAACAAGTAAAGAAAAAAAAAAACCCTAAGTATGGCAATATGTTAGACTTATTTTTTTTTGACAAATAATAATTGTACTTATTCATAAAGTACATAGTGATGTTTCAATACATATAATGTATGGTAATCAGATCAGGGTAATTGCATACCCATCATCTCAAACATTTAACATTTTTTTGTTTTAGGAATATTCAGTATCCTCCTTGTAGCTATTTGAAACTACATTATTGTTAACTGAGTCATCCTACAGGGCTATGGAACGCTAGAACTTAGCCTCTTACAGACATTACCTATTGATATTGTTTTGAGTACTGTTTTCACACGTAAGTACGGTCCATCTCGCCTGCCTAAAAGGGGGGTAACAGGGTTTCTACTTTCAATATTCAATGGCATAATACTGAATAATGTTTGTTCCTGCTCCTGATAATTTTCAGCTCTGAAATAGAGGCTGGTAGCCTCTGAGCCTGCTGCAGCGCCGTGGGCACAGACCGACACTACCACACTCCTGGGGGGTGCAGCAGCAGCATGTTCCTGCTGAAACAAATGGGATGGCGTTCAGTGTTCCCAGCTCTGCTTTAATTGCCACAGTGTTTTTTTCCTCTCTAAATGGTAAATTTCACTACCATCTGTCCTCAATCCAAGCCACGGCAGCCGAATCTTACTTCACAGATCTCATCCTATTCCACTGTGAGAAATGGTTGTTCCCCTCCACCTCCATCTTTCTTCCATATTTTGGAAATACTGAAAGGCCAATAGATCACTCACCTTCTCTTTATGTGAAAGTGTTGTCTTGCCCAGAAGCCAGGCAATTCATTCAATTCAATAAATGTTTTCTGGGCACCTGCTCTGTGCTAGGCCTTTAAAGGTAAGTTAGACGAAGTCCTTATCCTAAGACATTCCGCCCTCATGGGAAACACAGAAATATTCAATGATAAAAATTCAATATTATATGTTAAGTATCTGATAAAGGGAGCTCAGAGAAGGGTGTCTTAATGGAGCCTGGGGGCCTGGAGAACACTTCCAGGAGGTAATTCCTGAGCTGCCTGTGGATGGTCACCAGACCCTCTCAACAGTCTCCATTTGTACCTTTTCCCTCCATGATTCATTATCTACAGCAGCCAAAATAATCCCTTAAAAATAAAAACTGCATTATATTATTCCTCTGCTTACAAACCTCCAGTGGTTCCCTGTAGCCCTTAGAATAAAATCTAAACTCTACCAAGACCCTTTAGCATGTTCTCAATCTCTCTCCAGCCTCATCTCTTTCTTCTGCCCCTTCACTTTCTACGTTCCTGCCATATTGGAATTCTTTATTTCTCACATATTCCCTGCTTCTTTTTGCATCAGGGCTTTTGTATTTGCTGTACCTTAAATACTGTCTCCTGATCAAGCAGAGCAGAACCCCTAGTATTGTTTAGGCTTAGTGGGGAGTAAGGTAACAACCCCTCACTGACATTCTTTCATCACCTTATCTGCAGGAGCCACTCACCAGTCACTGCCTATCATATAAACCATTTTAATTCTTTCATATCACTTATCATATCTGAATTATTTTTATTTACTTGTTTATTATATTCTAATAGAATGTTAGCTCCATGAAAGAAGGCAGGATCTGCTTTCTATACCAGTCTATATCCAATGTCTAGGATATCTCCTAACACAGATTAGTACTCGAAAATAGGCGTTGGACAAAGAAACTGTATAGCAAAGACTAAGTCTTACTTTCTTACTTTTTGCTTTTTTTTTTTTTTTTTGAGACAGAGTCTTGCTCTGTTGCCGGGCTGGATCAATCTCGGCTCGCTGACGCCTCCGTCTCCCGGGTTCAAGCGATTCTCCTGCCTCAGCCCTCAGCCTCCCGAGTAGCTGGGATTACAGGCATGTGCCATCACACCAGGCTAATTTCTGCATTTCTAGTAGAAATGGGGTTTTACCATGTTGGTCAAGCTGGTCTCAAACTCCTGATCTCAGGTGATCCACCTGCCTGGGCCTCCCAAAGTTACTTGTTCTTATACAGTTAGTTTCTGCTAATTACTAAATTTTCATTTGCTGAATAAATCAAACCTATAACTACATAAGTATTTTAAAATTGAAAGAGAAATAAAAGGTTATCTAAGACAGAATTAGTCAGATAGTTGGCCTGGTAATTCTTTGTTGTGGAGGGCTGCCTTGAGCATTCTCGGATGCTTGTAGCATCCCTGACCTATGCCTACTACACGCTAGAAGTACCCCCCACCATCCTGTTTGTGATCATCAGAACGTCTCCATTCATCCCAAATGTCCCCTGGGGAGCAAAATCACTTCTGGTTTAGAAACCACTGGGCTAAGGCAAACCATATCCTACAAGTGAAGAAACGGAGGCCCAGAAAGACCAAGTAACATGCCCAAAGTCAGTCAGCCAGTTCAAGGCAAAACCGCAACTCAGATTCCAGGCTCCTGACTGGGTGCGCAGGGCATCTTCTGTTACACTCAGCCTGAAACAGAAAACTGTAGGCATAACCATGTGGGAGCGACCATGGTACATTAACGATCTCTTTACTGCCTGTCATGTGAACATGACCTTACCTTTCCATATGCTGCCTGATATTCCTTAACAATCAGTTGCCGCTGTGCATTTGACCTCTCAGTCAGAATGCTGATGAGCATTTTCTCATCGGTGCCTAAAGGAAACAAAAGTGATTTTACTCAATATTGATGCTCAATATCTGTCTTGACCTAAAGCAAAATGATCAATAGCCTGAGACAAATGCAGAGAGTAAGGCATTTTAATTCCCAGCTTCTTACCTGGTTGGGATCGTTATTTATTTATTTTGTTTGTTTGCCTGAGTTTTGGAAAAGAAAGTTATCTTTATTTGGATAGTTTTGGGGGAAGGAAACAATCATTGTCTAAATACTCCTTTCTGTACATCAGACAAAAGAACGTACTACTTTTGAACTTGACGTTTTTACCTTTATGAGGTTTGGTTACTGTCTTATTGCCTTTTATTTCTCTCCCATAGTTGATATCAAAATATTTCTTCCCTGGAAAACAGGAACTAACCCTTAATGAGAATCTGCCCTGCATGAAACGCCCTTTTATTCATTGCCATAGTTAATATTCACAGGGGCCCGCTGTACTAAAGATGAAGACACGAACTTATCTTCCTTGCCAAAGTCACACAACTTCTGAGTGGTCCAGCAAGAAGTTGAACCCAAATCTCTGACCACAAAACATATATTTCTATCTCTGGTCCACATCTCTCTCATGCATTTCTTCCACATCCCTCCCTCCCTCCCTCCTTCCCTCCCTCCCTTTCTTCCTTCTTTCCTTCCTCCCTCCCTCCTTCCCTCCCTCCCCCCTCTTTCCTGCCTTCCTTCCTCCCTTCCTCCCTTCCTCCCTTTCTCTATCTCTCTCTCTCCCCACCACCCTCTCTCTCTCATTGCCCAGGCTGCAATGCAATGGCACCATCTCGGCTCACTGCAACCATCACCTCCCGGGTTCAAGCGATTCTCCTGCCTCAGCCTCCCAAGTAGCTGGGATTACAGGCATGTGCAATCATGCCTAGCTAATTTTTTTTTTATTCAGTAGAGATGGGGTTTCACCACGTTGATCAGGCTGGTCTTGAACTCCTGACCTCAGATGATCCACCCGCCTCAGCCTCCCAAAGTGCTGGGATTTCAGGGGTAAGCCACCGCGCCTGGCCTCTCTCATGAATTTCAAACCCATATACAAAATGAATTGTTTGTAAGTGAGAGGTAACATCAGGCCAGAGCTGATGCCGGCCTGCCTGAGAATGACCTCAAGGTCACTCTTATCTTGGTGACTACAGTAGTAAGATAAACGTGGAAAGTTGTGTCTTATTAATTTCCCAGCCCACGATGATACCTGGTTTGGGGAGCTGTGAATTGGCTTGCAGGCCTAGAGCATGCATGACTAGAGAGGTATAAAAGAGCATCCGGAACTCAATGCTCAACTTCTTTGTGTCAAGGTGACCCTCACAGACCTCATCTACTCACTTCCAAGGCAGTGGTACATAACTTACATCAATGATGACGCAAAAGCTTCTGTGTACTTGGTTAGCTGCTGGGCCTCCCAGTGAAAGATGCTGCCTTTCTGTGTCTTTGGTTTTGTATTCTTATACATAGTTAAGTAAATACTGAATCAGATTAAAGTGTGTTTGTGCTCTGTGGGTCTGAGTACCAATGTGGACCCGTCACGTGTGTACCATACCCAGCATCCGTATCAGTACACTACCAGCCACCTCAACTGCACAAGTATCTGAAACTCAGCGTGTTCTGGGTGGACTTTATTGTATTTCCTCTCTGACTTGTCTGTCTTTCTATGTTCCCTTATCCACAACTATGGATATAGTCAGCCAGGCAAAAATCCTGGGAATCAGCTCAGATTCCTTTCTTTATCTTATTCTCTATATTATAGCAATTATCTGTATCTCTTACATTTGTCGTCTCCTCTGCATGCCCTCTGCCACTGTGTCCTTATCATATTTTACCTGGATAACCTAAATTGCCTCCTAATGTGACCCCCATATAATTATTCCTGTACACTACTGCCTAAGTAAATGTTTAAAAATACAATCTGATCATGTTATCCCCTTGGCTAAAATTCAAATGGCTCTTTGTAATCTTCAGGATGAAGTTTAAGCCCCTTAGCTCGTATATCAGCTCATTATGATCTCTCCTGCCTTATGTCTTGTTCTCATTTTCTACCCGCTCTCTGCATCTCTATAACCTATGCAACTGGACTACAAATATACCAAACTACCTGCAGTTATTTGTAGTTTGTATGCCTGGTAGTTTCTCATCTCTTATTTTTAAACATGCTCAAGATCAAAAACTAAGCCAAGATGCCTCCAGTCTAGAGACTGGGTCTGACCTAGCCCTAATGCAAACGCCATTATGATACCTGATTCTGAACTCAGAACGTATCAGAAGTGGTGCTCATAAACAATAACCTCCTTCTTAAAGAAGGCCTGTAAGCCAAAGTGCAAATTCATGAAGAAACATAACGTTTAAAAAGAGGCGACAGAATTTAAAGACTATTAACCTCATGAAACAGTCTACTCAACACTAGATATAAACAGGGCAATCAGGCTGGGTGCAGTAGCTCACATCTATAATCCCAGGACTTCGGGAGGACAAGGCAGAAGGATTGCTTGAACTCAGGAGTCCAAGACTGGCCTGGGCAACATAGCAAGACCCTGTCACTACAACAAATTTAAAAATTAGGGACACATTGTGATGAGCACCTGTAGTCCTAGCAACACCAGAGGCTGAGGCCATAGGATCCCTTGAGCCCAGGAGTTTGAGGCTGTAGTGGGCTATGATCATATCATTGCACTTGAGCCTAGGTGACAGAGCAAGCCCTTCTCCCTTTAAAAAAAAAAAAAAAAAGGCAATCAAGAGATAAATGAAGAAATAACTTACATTGAAAAATGGAAAAAAAACCCCTTAAACAGGCAGAAATAACATAATATTATATTGATATATAAAGTTCTAATATAGTATATTTATGAAATTTGACAAGCCGCTTTTAAAATTCATAGAGGAGGGCAAAGAGTGAAGAAAAACATTGCCCAGTAGATATTTAGTGTCATTATAAAACCCTAATAATCGTGACAGTGGGAGAGGCAAATAGATAAATGAAGCATAACAGAGAAGAGAAAAATAGGGAAACATAAAACAGAGGTGACATTACATACAAATCAGTGTGAAAAGGATGAGCTCTTCAATACATTGTTCTGGGACAATTAAATGTCCACATGAAACAGAACAAAATGAGACACCTTTAAATACCATCCATGAACATTAATTTCATGTAGATTAAAGATCATAATATGAAAAACAAAATTTCAAAACTTTGAAAAAAAATGTAGGAGAATATTTTTATGACTTCATTATAGAAAAGATTCAACAAGAATAAATCCTAGACAAAAATATTGGTAAACTTGATTTCACTAAAATTTAAAACTTCTATGCAATAAAAATTACTGTAACCAATTGTTACAGTAATTCACGCAACTTTTCACGTTGCTGATAAAGACATACCCTAGACTGGGCAATTTATGCAGGAAAGAGGTTTAATGGAGAACTCACAGTTCCATGTGGCTGGGGAAGCCTCACAATCATGGTGGAAGGGAAGGAGGAGCAAGTCACATCTTATGTGGATGGAAGCAGGCAAGGAGAGAGCTTGTGCAGAGAAACTCCACCTTATAAAGCCATCAGATCTTGTGACACTTATTCACTATCATGTGAACAGTACGGGAAAGACCTGTCCTCATGATTCAATCATCTCCCACCAGGTCCCTCCCACAATACATGGGAATTATGGGAGCTACAAGATGAGATTTGGGTGGGGACACAGGACCAAACCATGTCACCAATGTTAAAAGAAAACCATAAACTTATAAGAAATATTTTCATGGTTTGTAATATTTTTTAAAAAGTTTGTATTGAGGAATTATAAAAAATTCTTGCCAATCTAAAGAAGACAAACCAACTTAAAAAAATAGATAAAATATATTTTATATTTTATTGATGTATGAAAGTGGAAGCAGATGCACAAGTGAGGATGCTTAACTGCATCAGTCATCAGGGTAGAGAGAGGAAACAAACACACATGCAGAATAAGATACCATTTAGACCCACTTAATTAGAAAAATGGAATAGTCTTACTGTAGCAAGTATTGGTGAGAACATGGAGCAAAAGGAAGTCTTGTACATTGCTGAAAGGAATGCTAATTTCTACATTCATTTCAGAGAATAGTATAGCAAAATTTCCAGTTAATTTGAAGAGAAGTATCCCCGTCAATGTGGAAATTCCAGTTCTTGTCATATTCTAGAGAAATGCTAGCAAATATGCACAATGAGACATAAGAGGAATATTCACTGCAGCATTTTTATATTGCAATATAAAAGAATTGCAGGCAATTTAAATGTTCCATCAATATTCCCATCTTCTGATATAGTGATGCAATAGATACCATGCAGTTAAAATTAATGCACTAGAGCTAACCATATCAACATGGATAAATCTCAAAAATATAATGTTAAGGGATAAAAACATATTGCAGAAGAATGTATACAGTATGATTTCATTTTATGCTGTTTGAGACCATACAAAACAATATGTACATGTATATATAGTGATGGTATTAAAAGTTTCATGGGAATGAACTCTAATTTGGGATAGTGTTTATCTCTAGTGAAAGGGGCAAGAATGAAATCCAGGAAGAACTGATGGGATTGTACTGGGGTTTTTTTGTTTTTTTATTTTGTTTTTGAAATAGACTCACTCCGTCATCCAGGCTGGAGATCAGTGGCACAATCACAGCTCAGGGCAGCCTCAACCTCCCCGGCTCAAAGTATCCCCCTACCTCAGCCTCCCAAGTAGCTGGGATCACAAGCCCAAGCCCCTCGCCCAGCTAATTTTTTGAGGTTTTTGTAGAGAAGGGCCCTCCCTATATTGCCAGGCTGGTGTTGAACTCCTGGGCTCTAGTGATCCTCCTGCCTCGCCCTCCCAAAGTGTTGGGATTACAGGCATGAGCCACCATGCCCAACCAAGGGGGCCATATTTGTAATGATTTATTATGATAATTATTATTGTTGTTGGTAGCAGTGGTGGTGGTGGTGGTTAGACAGGACTAATACGGGGTGGCCACAGGAGAACAGAAAATTCCAGGCAGCAGTTTCACATGACTAGCAAAAGGAAACTGATGAAATAGCTGCAGAAACTAGGGGCTGATAAGACCCTGAAAACCCATAGTCTGGATCAAGCTGGCTAAGACCCGCTGGACCCAACGTGGCGCTGGATTTGACCTAGGATTCTCCTAGGATCTCATTATATGCTAATTAACATACTCAATCACACACCCACCAGTGCCATGGCAGTTCTGGAAACACTGATATTTGGTGTAAAAAGGGGTGGCACCACAGTACCAAGAAATCATCTTTTTCCCGGAATCTTCATGACTATTCCACCCCTTGGTTAAAGAAACCCATAAAGGCAACAACCCCAAACCCCCTTGTGCATCACTCTCTCTTGAGTACACTCACATTCCCCTTTCCTGAGTGTGTACTTTTCACTTTGCAACAAATCTGTGTACTCTCACTATCGTTTGACCCATTCTTGAATTTCTTCTCTAGATGGTGTCAGGAGTCTGGATACCAGCCAGGGTCGAGATCCCACCGGCATCTGGGGATCTCCCCTAGACCACCAATATCAGTGGTAGTTTTTTAATATTAAGTAAATATGATAAATGTTAGGATTTAATAAAGCTGAGTTCTCTATATATTTCCTCATTATTTCACAATTTTAGAAAATTCCTGACAATTTATCAAATTGAGTAAGCCAAGCTGAGCAAACTGAACTTTTAGATTGTAACCTGCCTGATTTGCTTCAACATTAAGAAAGGAATCGTAAAATATCACTCACCAATTCCTCTGATTGCTTTCCGAATAGCTTCAGCATCCACTGATGGGCTGAAGTCTGGATAATCTCTTATTGTTCCTCGGTGTCCAACCTAGAAGGAAATATTTGAAAGTCACATTGGTTCAAAATGACATCTTTCTTGTATTACATATGCATATTCCTTCATGCATATGAGAGGAATATGACAAACCCATAATTTGCACACCTTCCTACCACTTCAGGAGTGGCTCTGAAACTGCCTTTGCAAAATCATGACAGTAAGAGAAATCTGACATGGTTGACTCCATCTTGCTTTTAGCCTCACAGGCTGGGTGTCTTTGCTCATTCCTGGGTGTGGGCCAAACTAACTTCAGGAGGAATTTATAGTTTAAATGATACTAGCTCTTCCCCCAAAGCTAAACTACCCTTGTAAAATTAATGAAAGTCTACCAAGTTAGGTAGATGAGAGGGGCCTGAATTTTACTAAGATGTAGGCATAGTTACATAATTACCAGCCATTATTCTGGAGGTCACAATATTTGCAGCCTCCCCAATTACTCCTGCAGATAACATCACTATTACAGAACCTACACTTGGCCTTTTGAGATGTCTCTTTAGGCTTTTGCATTTCTGACTACTAGACAGTCCCACTCAGACCAGCAACTCCTCTGGTGGCCCCCACTTAGAAGCAGACTCAGCCTACAAGGACTGCTTTCTATACCCCTATGATTGCATCCCCAACCAATCAACATGCCCCCTTCCCTAGGCCCCTGCCCACCATTTTATCCTTGAAAAACCCCTAACTTCTGAGCCTTCAGGGAGATTGATTTGAGTAATAACTCTGTCTCCCACATGGTGTGGCCAGCCTGCATCAATTACACTCTTTCTTTACTGCAATACCATGGTCTCAGTGGACCGATTGTGTCTGTGCAGTGAGCAGGAAGAACCCATCTGGCAGTTCCAGTTCCAGTGACTGTCTACCCCCCAGACATAGGGAATATGATATCTACCCCATATCTCAGGAGTCCTCTTTTTCTCCTGTGTAACAAATTACAAATATAAAACATGGGTTCTGTACAGTAGTAAGTTGTGTTAATCTTGGTGACACTGAAGAAAATTTGTTTCAAAGTAGCATTTGTAGAAGAGCAACAAGAAAGCTGAAATTTCCTAAATCTTCTTGTTTTTCAAGTGATAATTCAAAGCTCATCATGGCATCTCACACAGAAGTAACTGTGGTTTACAAACTTCAAGATGTTTTAATTAATGTTGACCATTGTCCTTGGGGAACTCCAGACTAAATGATCCATAAATGAAAACCCCCTTAGGACTGTCTGTTCTTGAGCTTTGTTTAATGAATGTGCAATTAGAAGACCTTCTAAAAGCTCTACTGGCATCATAGATCTTGAGGAATTGCATGGAAGTAAAAAATGCCACGCTACTAATTTTAAGCATGTAAATTAGAAGCATGTCAGTAAGCTGGGAAAGACCACAATACAGAAAAAATATTTTAAAATTGCTTACGAGACTAAAGAAGGACAGCCACAAAGATGTTGAGAAAAATAAAAGTAAATGAAGATTTATATGGTAGTTCTTAACTTCTTGAATAAAAATCTGTCTTTACAGTAATAATATTTCCTTTTTAAACAGCATTTTTCTATCTTGTTACTGAATAGTATTGGCTCTGTTGTCTTGTATTAATACGGCTTCATTAAACACTTCATTGAAGTGTTTAATGTTTTCATGAAAGGACATTATCTGTCACATTAAAGTGAATGGAAAATTAGTGTTCTGGCACAGTAAAAAATGATAGTCTGCTGATTCCTAAGATTAGATTGAATAATTTATTTCAATACACGCAAACTCTGTTTAATCTTACAGCATCCAAAATAAGAACTTTAGAACCTAGAAAATAATTACAAGTTAGAAACTAGTTGTGAGTGTTCCTGACATGAAGATACCTGTAAGAAACCAATCACTTTAGTCTGGGCATGGTGGCTCACTCCTGTACTCCCAGGACTCTTGGGGGCCAAGGACAGGATCACTTGAGCCCAAGAGTTCAGGGCCAGCCTGGGCAAAACAGTAAGACCCAGTCTCTACAAAATATTAAAAAATTACCAGGTGTGGTGGTGTGCAAGTGTGGTCCCAGCTACTCAGGAGGCTGAGGTGAGAGGACCACTTGAGCCCAGAAGGTCAAGGCTATAGTGAGCTGTAATTGTGTCACTGCACTGTAGTCTAGGTGACAGAGTGAGGCTCTGTCTGAAAGAAAGAAAAGAAAGAAAGAAAGAAAGAAAGAAAGAAAGAAAGAAAGAAAGAAAGAAAGAAAGAAAGAAAGAAATTAGTCACTTTAATATAATCTTTGATGAATTCTCTTTCTCCAAGGCTTGATAAATATTTTATGGATTCACAGAGCCAACTGGCTTCATTTCACTTCTATCCACCTAGGAACTTTTGTGTTGATCTTATCTGTTCACCTTCCAGCATCTGGCATTGTAAAAGAACTACCCCAACGTTAGAGTGTTTGAGTGCTTCAGGCCCAGCACACTTTACATGCTAGGCACTTTATACATGTTAATTATAATCTGCATAACAGCTTCAATAAATGAGAGTGAGCAATTGCACATAAACAGATTTAAGAAGACCAGAGAATTTGATCAAGTCTACACAGCTAATTGCAGGCAGAGGTTAGAATTTAAAAACAAACTAGACTATTCCAGACCATTCCTGGGGTTTCATGAAATGTAGTCTCTGTACCATCTGGGGTGATACTTTAAGTGTATATAACCAGGACCCACCTTCTATATACTGAATCATATTTTTTAGAGATGGGGTGCTAAATTCTACATGTTTAAGAAGCTCCCAGATGATTCTGTGCCATGCAGATATTGACATGGCTGATTCTAAATATAAAAAGACAAACTTGTGGTCAGATCCCAGTTGTTCATGAATCATGAAAACTCAGCATTTGCACTCCAGCTGTGAACTTTTCACTGTCCTCTACCACCTACACATCAAAATATGCTAAAATGCCGATGCACAGAATTAGAGAAGGAGGAAATTCCCAATTAGTAAGAATTAAATGGGGGAGAACAACTTGTTTAATTACAAGGGGGGAAGAAAGTACACATACACACACCCCAGCTTGAAAAAGGGCATGGCAATTCTGAAGTGGAATTTTAGTGAAACATTTAAAATTGCTTCCATTATTTAAATGAATGGCATTATTCATTTGATAGACTTGGTTGCCCAAATCACTCCGAAATATTACATGACTTACAAAAGAATCTCACAATAAAAGATTAATGAAATCTTTTAAAACTAATACATGAACAAAGTGCCTTACAAACATTTTAACTCTTACAAGGGCCTTCATGAGGTGAATTTTATTATTTCTAATTGAAAATGGAAGAAACCCAGTCTCACAGTGATTATTTGCTTAAAAGAGTTCTGCTAACAAGGACAGCCCCAGGACTCAAACCCATCACCTTATGACTAAAATGCCCCCTGCTCTATACCATATCACAGTGCCTCAGGGGACTTCATCTTAGTGGTTCTCAAAGTGTGGTTCCTGAAGCAGCAGCATCAGCATCACCCGGGAATGTGACAGAAATGCAAATTCTCAGGCCCAACCCCAGCGTTCATGAACCAACAACTGCAGGGCTAGGATGCAGAATCTGCGACTTAACAAACGTTCCCGGTGATTCTGGTGCACAATAAAGTTTAAGAACCACTGCTTTATTTCCTTCTTAGCTGCCTAGAAAACCAAAGCAAAAATGAGCAAACAAGCCATGAATTCTCTTATGGGTGTGGAAGATGAAGAATTTAATGATGAGCTCATCGTTTCAGGAATGTCGGCATTTTTACAGCCAAACAAGGCTGTTTGCATTGCCTGCCTGCTTCATTGCAAGTTTAATTCCTTGCCATTTATATTACTAATCAATACTTGGCCGAGTTTATTTCCAGTAACCCTAGTGTCCTAACATAGTCAATACTAGTGTAGAACATCACCTGAATACTTGGCAAAGTCTATTTAAAAAAAAGATTGCCTTTGATCAGATTTCCATCCACACATTTAAACACATTTAGTTGCTTTCCTTTTCTGAAACTTGACCTTCAGATGCCTCAAAAAGAAAAATGCTGCCGAAGCCAGCTGGAAAACAAATTAAAGCAAAGAATGTCTAGATAAAGGGGGAAAGTAACAGGAGCTCTTTATACTAAGAACAATTGCTGCTAATCACTATGTGCCAAGTACTGTGCTAAGCCGGTTTCCTGCATTAGCTTATTCAATGCTTGTAATAAACTTATAAGGTAGATAGAATAAATCCTTTTCACAGATGATGAAACTGATGCTTAAGTAACTTGTTTAAGTTCCCACAGCCAGTAAGTGGTCTGTCCCAACAGTCTTTGCTCCTAAACTAGACTAGCCTGCATCTCATTTAAACCATCTTTTTAAAGACAATATAATCTCCCTTTATCTTCTAAAAATCATCCTTTGGAGGTCAGCCTTAGCACATGATGTCTTGAAGCCACTGCATGGCCCAGCTGGGCCTGGGGAACTGTTTGCTATTACCCTTGGGAGAGGCCAGTCTGCTTTTGACTCACAAAAGCCAGTTGCACCTATTTCTTCATGCAAAGTGTACTGAGTTTGCAAGAAATTAAACATTTACATTCAAAAGGATGAGTGGAAGAGAAAAACAGAAGGTGCCAACCCTGTTGATACGAAACATATTTAAAGCCAAATGCTACAGAGCAAGAATAGCAGTTGCTGCAGGGACATTTTGAAGATGCAGTGAAACCAGATCACTCATCACTTCAGAAAGCCCTATAAAGGCCACATCCAAAAATTGAGGCTTCAAATCAAAGCCTCAGATAAAACTCCAGGACAAGGAGCTCTCAAAGAGCCGGGGAGAAAGGACGGCTCTCTGCTCAATGTCAAGATGCTGTGTTGGGTCATGAAGCTTTTATGATACAAGGAAAAATGGAGTAGATTACGGAAAAATAAAGCAATCAAACTTGGAAACTGTAAGACTTCCAGTTCAATTTTTCAAGTAAAAAGCACGTTTCCAAACCAAAGAAAGTTTACTGTAAGAAAAAGGCCCTGAAATAAAACGCAGT